ATTATAAATAATTGACTTAAAACGAGAGCAAGCTCTATAATTAAAATCTAAACATAGCTACAGTGCATCATATTTCATTTACCACGTGAGGAGAAAAGAGGAGTCGAATTTACAGAAAGAGGATGGCGGACTATTTTTTGTCAAAACGCAATGCAAAAGCGCATGTTTGGCAAAATTTTGGGTTCAAACCAAATGCATAAGAGAACCTGACGACGTTAATGAGGCAATCTTGCCTGAAAAAAGTGGCAGTATCTGGAAACATAACTAATTTATACACGCACCTTCATGTTTAACTATGGGTGGGTCGCGGATAGATCAATGGCCATACATACGCAACGCATACTCTCATTTTAAAAAAAATCACGCGACCATCATCTCACAATGTTTAATAATAAATATCTTTTTTTAATTAAAACGAGTGATTTAGCAATGCCGCGCCATTGACAATCCAACTGCAGAAAAACATCGTGGCAACATGAGGACTTTTTCCGAAGTTCAGCTGTTCTTATTTCCACTTGATTATGTGTTTAATGTTAAAAAAATCCATAATGTCTAGGCCAAAAAGATCGAATCCTGTGTGTGCGCGCATCTTTTATAACTGAGGCCGCTCTCTTCAAAAACCGAAAGTTGGTTCTTCTGTCTGGCAATATTTCGGCTTTTAATATATGAAAAGTTTATTTAGATGAGCCAATATTAAAAATTGCAATAAAGTAATTGAGACGTGCGGCCACACATCGAATCTGAGGACTGATTTCTCTCTCTCTCTCTCTCTCTCTCTCTCTCTCTCTCTCATTCAGACATCGAGCCACAACACAAGTCAAGTTGCAAAACTTAGGCAGGTGCAGCTGACAGGTAGAATAGCTGAAGCCTTTACGAAATCTGTCAAAACGCACCTCTGAAATTAATAGGCATAAATGTCTTTGAGCCAAAAAAAAGTCTATTGGTAGGATATCTGTAAAAACGCAATTGGAGCCAAAGATATGGGTTGTGTAGCCTATAAATTATAGGCCTATTAATTCTAATAAAATGAAAACTAAAATTAACAATTCATTGCATTTTTCGTTTGATAAAAATATACGTAAACGAAAAAAAAAAATCAAAGGGTGGCTAATTTGTATTAATGTGTTTTAATTTTAATGAAAATATGCTCAGCATATTTAATTAACGGCTATACGCCGTCAATAGACAAGCCATTCAAAACATATTATTTTACCGTGTACTGGGTTATAATGTATATTTTACAATAAAAACTAAACGTAGCATGTCTTGCTGTCATTTAAAACGTGTAATTCATACCACACCAGAGCTGTGGACCTGTAGTGTTTAAACTTACAGGGCGGTTGGTCAATAGTCTTAATGCGCACTGAACTCCAATCCGAGGGACTCGATAGTTACTCGATAGACAACATTAACTTGAGAGAATTAAAAAATAAAAATTTTTTTTTAAAAGGAACAACGTGCAAATCTGCAACAAATAAAATAAAAATAAAACGTCTTGGCAGTGCTGTGTGTATTCCGCTACTGACAGTGTGAGACGCCCTTATGCTGCGCCTGTAACTGCCGCTTGTAAGAGAGATCAAAGCTGTATCGATAAAACCAAAAAGCAAGATCATTTAGTTATAAATATTCCATAACAATACTTATCGAAATATTTATACATTTACATGTTGTTTATTGAGATTGTGTGATCTGTATAGGTTGTCTGATCTTTCCAGAAGCTGTAAACTGACACATGTGCGGTGATGTTTAGCTCTGAAGAGGCGCTTTTATTTAGCCTGCCCTTTGATTTTTTACATAATGTTCCAATTCTTAATTTTTTTTCATATTTTAAATATAAAAATATACAGTTTAAATATAAAATTTGTGCTCGCATGTTTAGTTGTGATCATTATGCAAGGATCATATTTCATATTCGGTTTATTCTTCAATAGCCTAAATTCTTTAATAATGTATTTTATAAACGGATTGTTCATAAGGACTAAGCTGTTAATATATAACATAGGCGTTTATGGTTGTTATTTGTATGGTTCCAACTTACACAGTTTTTTCAGCCTGTAGCAGTGTTGTGTTTTATTCGTTATGTAAATAAAAGTTATGTTTTGTTTAATAACAGGGATTTTTTTGTAGTTTCCTTTCCGTCCATTCAAACAATTGACACCGAATTGGCCACTCCCGCAAAACTGAAAGTGAAAATATTATACGCACGCATTCATAAGCTATTTAAAAGCAGAAAAAAAAGAGGAAATGAAAAAATGCCCACTCCCACGGTGATACCGGTATTACCGGTGTTGTCACATGTCGATTAACCGGTGTGGAAATTTCCTCACCGTCACATCCCTACATGGTTGGCAATAAGATGAATATATAAACGTTATCTAACTAATTTCTAGCAGCTAAATGTGTCTGGACAAATATTCAAAGGCTTTTATTCTCATAAGCCGCGCAGATGTGAATGCGTCTGACTGTTCTGATTGGCTAAAGCAGACATCTCATGTCAGCACGTTCTAGACATACACGCGATCTTTCCGGCAATCTTCCTTCTGCATTACCCCCAGATGTAACCATCTCGTTGCAAAGAAACAAGCTCAGGGCTCCCATTGATTTAGCGTAACGGACCGTTTTTGATGTTATAATATGTTATATTGTTGGAGCAATGTGTTAATATAGTTATTACTTCCTAATGTTATAATAGCATTGTAATGGTGGAGCAATGTGCTAATAAAGTTCCACATGAGTACACAGTGGATTTACGTTTATTAGCAGCCAAGCACCGTATGTGCGTAGGCACCTATTCCTTTCATTAGCGTTCCTATTATTATTATTTTTCTTCCGCCGAATTTGAATGGCAGCCCCATATAGGCATATGCGGGAAAGTTGTATAATTTGGCACAATGATAGAGGACAGTCTTAACATTAATCAGACCAAATATGAAGTCTCAAAATCAAACTCTCTAGCGCCACCACTTGTCCAAACTTTCACGTATGTTTATCATGATAGCTTTTGAACCTTTTAAAACTTTTGGGCTACAATCAAAATTCTTTTTTCCTCTGATTTCTTCGCTCAGTCCGATTCAAACGCACCCTATGACGTCATTTTCCTTCATGAATTTTTTTGCGCTATTAAAATTTTTTCAAAAAACCTATTTGGTCGAACTCGTCCTAGGCCGTTTCTCAGATTTTACCAAAATTTTATCACATGATCTACAGACCATGCCAACCAAAAGTTATGGAATTTAAGTTGATTTGACCAACCGTTTTCGTTTAACTTGCGATCAAATTTAACGTAGAATTTGCAAAAATGGGCTTGAGGGGATATCTCCGTAACGCATTCACCGATTCACACCAAACCTGGAGTTTTATGACAACTAGGGGTCTGAGGTTATATGTGGAGTTTCAGCGCACTGTCCCCTGGTGGTCCGGAGATACAAAAACTTGCTTTTTGCTTTATAACGTCTCAACCTTTCGTCCGAAACTCATAAAACTGGTCTCATTACATCCGGCAGAGCATGTCGAGTCGAATGATGTTTGATTTTCACAGGTCAGCCATTTTGGGCGTCGCCTATTTCGATTTTTGGCCAAAAATGCTATATTTTACCAACACATTCACATATCATTACAAAACATGGTATGCATCTTCAACCCCATGCCCTGAAAGTACTCAAAAAGTTTTGGAGCAGCACCAGCTTTTGGCCAAAAGTGCTTGGCCCCTTAATTGCTGCTTGCAGCTATATTTATTGTTATTATTATTTCAACCCCCCGGTCCACAGTATAATTGTCAAGTGTTGACCGGTCCGCAGTTAAAAAAAGGTTGGGGACCACTGTTTTAAAAGATAAATAAAATGCATAAAACTATACATTTATATTAGCCTACTTATTATTACCTATACATCTGATAAGCTTTTTATTTTTATGGACAATGTACAGATTCATTGCTCTACTTGTATTAAATCAAATTTTTAGGTGGTTTGTGTAATGTGTTTTATGTTTGGAAAAATAATTTCTAATTGCATCTTTAGTAATTTTTCAACTAAATACAGGATAAGTGGATTTAGAGGTTCTTGCAAAAAAAAGTAGAGGTGGATTTAGCTTGTTTTGACGCAAAAGAAAATCTAATTTGTTAAAACGCAAAGAATTGTCTAAAGTGGCATTCATGAAAAAAAAAAAAAATATATATAAAGTTGAAGTCGAATTAGTAGCCCCCTTAGTTTTTTTTTTCTTCTTTTTTAAATTGAAATTCATCATTTTCCAAAAGATGTTTAACAGAGCAAGGACATTTTCACACTATATCTGATAATATTTTTTCTTTTGAGGAATGTCTTATTTGTTTTATTTCGGCTAGAATAAAAGCAGATTTGAATTTTTTATGAACCATTTTTGGGGCAAAATTATTAGCCCCTTTAAGCTATATTTTTTCTTGATAATCTACAGAACAAACCATCGTTATACAATAACTTGCCTAATTACCCTAACCAGCCTAGTCAACTTAATTTACCTAGTTAAGCCTTTAAATGTCACTTTAAGATGTATAAAAATGTCTTGAAAAATATCTAGTAAAAAAATTTTTTACAGACATCAAGGTAAAGATAAAATAAATTGGTTATTAGAAATGAGTTATTAAAATTATTATGTTTAGAAATGTGTTAAAAAAATCTCTCGGTTAAACAGAAATTAGGGAAAAAATAAACAAGCGCTCTAATAATTTAGGGGGGCTAATAATTCTGACTTTAAATATATATATATATATATTTACAACACCTTACAACACCGTGTTTCTGTAGGTAGGTAGTTCTTTATAAGAAACACAGAGGTTCTTTCCAGCGGTGCTCATTACTTTTTATACTTTTAACTATATTATATTCCAGCACCAATAACCAAAACAGCAGAGTAGCAGGTCTGTGGTGCTAGGACCAAACACATTACATGCATATTCATTATCACACTAGACATAATTTCAAACCTACTAAATGGCTTTCTTCAGTTAATATCTAAAGAGCATTTACCTCCATTTTCAGACGTCTGTGAGAGCTCTGTGATCTTCCATGATATTTTCTGCGTATCTGGATTCCTTAAAATTTAACAAATGGACAAACATCATCACCGACCGCAGATGATTTTAAATGTAATTGTAGGAGTTTGACCCTTACCAGGTGGCAGGAGGAAGCATGGCCTGCAGTTTGTTGACGCCGCCGTCCACAGCTGCCATGAAGAGGATGTTGGTGAGTGGTGTGGGTGTGGGCATGGCCTCTGTGTTGTATTTATAGTCTATCCTGAGGTCTGTACTGCTGGCATCACCACGCCAGCTCACTGCAAGATTCAACGGAGTGGACTGGATACCTTGAGCTAAAACCTGTGAGAACAAATCTGTAATACCACACACTGCCTCAAACAAATCTTACAAGACAATCAGATTGTGAATTAAATTATTACTCACCTGGTACTTCAGCATGTCTACATTGTAATATGTGGCCTGTGGCCTCTGCTCAGCCACTTTCTTCAGGTGGCTTAACAAGTTTGGCATATTCACCCAGAACTCCTTCATGTCACCTGTAGGTGGTGTGGTGTCACTGAAAGATGAAAATAACTGCAGTTTTTAAGAATGCTTTTTGAAAATGGCATCAAAATGTTGATCAACATCAAAGGCAGAGACAATTTTCCACTCCATAACATTCTAAACATACATGAAATTGTTCGGCTCTGCCTGTCACTTCATAATTGTTTCCCTATATAATACCTTTTCTGCCATCCAAAGGCACTGTGCACAGTAACTACACATTTGGTCAAAACTGAGTTAAGCCATAAATGGAATTTGTGAAAAATGCTCTGTCTTGTGCTAAAGTCTCTGGGCTTATTTAACTCAACCAATGAGTGTCTCTGGAAGTGTTTTGAGGAGTGACAATACATTGTAATATCGAGATATCGTAATGTATAATACCAAAACATATTTTGCTGATGTAAACGATATGATTTACGACACTGAATTAGTTTAAGCCAAGATATATCCATCTCCAATCACATGTGAGCTAATGCAGAGATGTTAACAGTGCATACTTCAGCATAGGTTCTGAGCCATTTGCCCAGGCTGTAGATACAGCAAAAAAGGATGTAAATAATGCAAATCTGTGGTGGTTTTGTTCAATAGTCTCTGGATGCAGGCTTTATGATGCAAGCTGAGATTGCATTACTTAGTAATGCAATGTCAGACACAATGAACTCAAATGGAGAGAGTGACATCACTGTGAGGGTTAGGGGTGGGGTTAGGTGAGCCCATTAAAAAGCATTCAATGTAACTGCACTGCATCAGGTCTGCATCCACACACCTTTCGTTATGTTGCTTGTTGAATTTGCCCTGTAATATCTGATAGTCATATAGCTCCTAACATGCGCTCTCATGTGTTCATTTATTACATCTTGAAAGGGGTTTTGAAAGGAGTAAAATGTACACAGAAAAAAAACACATGAAGTAACCAGGCGTTCCTGGATAAAAAAGTCAAATTATTCTGAAACTCAGATGGACACTTTTTTTATTCATTTCTTTAAGGCTTAGTCTCTTTATTAATTAGGGGACGCCACAGCGGAATGAAACACCAACTTCTCCAGCATTTTATTTATGCAGCAAATGCCCTTCCAACTGCAACCCATCTCTGGGACACATCCATACACACTTATACACTACAGACAATAAAACCTACCCAATTCACCTATACCACCAAACCAGAGCACAAGGAGGAAACTGACGGGAACGCAGGGAGAGCGTGAAAATTCCACACAGAAACGCCAACTAACCCAGCCAAGGCTCGAACCAGCGACCTTCTTGCTGTGAGACGACAGCACTACCTACTGCGCTTTTTTTTTTTTCTTTCTTCAAACTGACACCTCTCAAAATGTTCTGGGGAATCCTGAAGCTGAGTTTATTTAGATCAGGGCTCTGAACTCACTCAAGAAACAAAAACTATAAAACAAATACAATTATACAGGAAAAAAACTTAATTATTTTGATCATTCTAAACAGAGACACTAGCTTTATTCAAAACTATGCTATTAGCTATTAGCTAGAGCACAGCACAAGGTAAACCTGGTGCCTCAGATATCAGAGCAGTGAGGGAAAATGACAGCAGCTTGAGCCTAAAAGGAACTGTACAACTTGCCTTATGTGAGAAGACATGTCACAAGCACAACAGACATGTCACAAACCAAGATCACGTCCAGAAGACCAACAACTAATCTCCACACTCATCAGCAACATACCCACAAGAAGCTCTGTGCTAAAACATTGTTTTACATGTTATTGTTTAATGTTTAAATTGTTTAATGTCAATAATGTCAATAAATTGTAAAGCCCTTACAACACCGTGTTTCTGTAGGTAGGTAGTTCTTTATAAGAAACACAGAGGTTCTTTCCAGCGGTGCTCATTACTTTTTATACTTTTAACTGCAGTTGCTGCATGACTCACGTGCACGCAAAGGGATTTTAGATTTGCCTGGAGAGACAGATTTCGACACAAGGAGGAAACTGACGGGAACGCAGGGAGAGCGTGAAAATTCCACACAGAAACGCCAACTAACCCAGCCAAGGCTCGAACCAGCGACCTTCTTGCTGTGAGACGACAGCACTACCTACTGCACTTTTTTTTTTTTCTTTCTTCAAACTGACACCTCTCAAAATGTTCTGGGGAATCCTGAAGCTGAGTCTATTTAGATCAGGGCTCTGAACTCACTCAAGAAACAAAAACTATAAAACAAATACAATTATACAGGAAAAAAAAACTTAATTATTTTGATCATTCTAAACTGAGACACTACTTTGAAATGACCTTTAACTGGTGAATAAAGCTATTTTTGCATTCTGTATGTTTAAAGTATGGACTTTTCATTAAAATAAGTTTATTCAGTTTATGGATTGTGAGCACCTTTTGACTGTTAGTCAGTAACAGTAAAACATTAAAATTTGCAAGTATTCAATGCAAGTATTTACATTTATTTAAATGATATTATGTATATTCATTCATTCATTCATTCATTCATTCATTCATTCATTTTCTTTTCGGCTTAGTCCCTTTATAAATCTGCAGTCGCCACAGCGGAATGAACCGCCAACTTATCCAGCATATGTTTTACGCAGCGGATGCCCTTCCAGCTGCAACCCATGACTGGGAAACATCCATACACTCTTTCACACACATACACTATGGACAATTTCAGCTTACCCAATTCACCTATGCCACATGTCTTTGGACTTGTGAGGGTCACTAGAGAACCTGGAGGAAACCTATGCGAACACAGGGAGAACAGGCAAACTCCACACAGAAATGCCAACTGACCCAGTCGAGGCTCAAACCAGTGATCTTCTTGGTGTGAGGCAACAGCGCTACATACTGCACCACCGCTGCACCCTTTATTATGTATTAAATCTACCGATTCAATTTTCACGTGCTTGTTATTTTGAAGTAATAATTATTATGCTTATACCAGAGGTCAGGTTCACCGAAACTTTTCCTTTAATGACAGATTTATAAAAAAAATTTTCATCAGTGACTGAAAAATCTAAAAGCTTTTCCCCAAGCATATAATATATGGAATGGTAAGAGTCAGTACAAACTAGAACTAAAGAAAAGAGTTGTCAAAGGCTGGTTTAATGCTTACAGAATATAAAACAAAGCACTTTAATGATAGCAATATTACATTCACTCAATTAAAGGTTCACACGAAACATTTAAAAACAAAAATTTTAACTCAATGGATGTGAATAGAACTGTCGGTTAGGACACTGGTTACATACTGATGCGTAAGATATGTATTGGTCTATCATTAAACAAGAAACCTCACTTTCCTTCGGTTTAATCCCTGATTTATCAGGGCATACCACAGCAGAATGAAGCTGCAATAACTTAAATATATTTTATATACCAAGCATTTGTGTGTTGCATGCAGAGGTTGTCCAAACTATGCTATTAGCTATTAGCTAGAGCACAGCACAAGGTAAACCTGGTGCCTCAGATATCAGAGCAGTGAGGGAAAATGACAGCAGCTTGAGCCTAAAAGGAACTGTACAACTTGCCTTACGTGAGAAGACATGTCACAAGCACAACAGACATGTCACAAACCAAGATCACGTCCAGAAGACCAACAACTAATCTCCACACTCATCAGCAACATACCCACAAGAAGCTCTGTGCTAAAACATTGTTTTACATGTTATTGTTTAATGTTTAAATTGTTTAATGTCAATAATGTCAATAAATTGTAAAGCCCTTACAACACCATGTTTCTGTAGGTAGGTAGTTCTTTATAAGAAACACAGAGGTTCTTTCCAGCGGTGCTCATTACTTTTTATACTTTTAACTGCAGTTGCTGCATGACTCGCGTGCACGCAAAGGGATTTTAGATTTGCCTGGAGAGACAGATTTCGATAAAACACACAACAATAAAACATCAACATGTATTTTAAATATGTAATTTATATATTGCTGTATATTAGATTCTAGATTTGAAAGCACATGAATTGAAAGTCAAATAATCTAATGTTAACATGTTAACACTTCATTACTTCATTTATGTGGATGTTATCAAGATATTTACACTAAATCCCAATTATTTATAGAATGTATACTTTATTTATTTTATTTATAAAGATGGGCAAGAAAATATTTGGCTTAAAACATACACTTGTTTTAAGATGCCATATAGTTACATTTGAATAAAGAATAATCTTTAGGAGTTATGCAGTTTGTGTTTATTTGTGTATGGTAAAACCAAACCAGAAATCAGAACATCTAGGTGTTTTATCAATGGTATTATTGTTTTAAAGTCCAAATGTTTGCAGCTACCTTGACAGATTTTTGTTTTAGCCTGAATTAAATTCAAGACAGGCGTCACGATGGCTTAGTGTTTAGCACTGTCGCCTCACAGCAAGAAGGTCGCTGGTTCGAGTCCTGGCTGGGCCAGTTGGCATTTCTGTGTGGAGTTTGCTTGTTCTCCACATGTTCATGTGGGTCTAGGCCGAAGTAAAATTGCTTTTAACATTTTATATGATTTAAATAATTTTGTATGATCATTACATATAGGATTTTTTGTAGTCTAACAAAAATAGAGTTTCTCGAGGTAAATGTTTTCGCAAAAAAATATTGAATCTGCAAAATATAACTACAATATCACATATTTTATCAATATAATGCAGCACTCCCTACTTTGGATGAATATACAAATTAGACTATTGTGGTTAAACCTGTTATAATGACACATACCTCCCAGATGCACTTAACTACTTTTATTCACGGTTTGAAATGTAGAATGACGAACCTGCACAAAAACCACCCTCAGGGACCAATGGCATATTGCTCTGTCTGTCTTAAGCCTATGTGAGGAAATCTTATTTTGGAATAATCAATGCAAAGCTGCGGGTCCTGACAACACACCTAGCCACGTACTAAAAAACTGTGCTGCACAGCTAACAGATGTCCTAACAGATATCTTTAGCGCATCACTGAGACATGCAGTCGTCCTCACATGTCTGAAGTCCACAGCAATCATCCATGTACATAAGTAATCATCTATGTCCTTTCTAAAT